ACTTGGATCACTCACATTCTGTTGTCCACATCTGTGCTCCCCAAATGTGGCTAGGCCCCTCTTCAGGAAACCCCACATCTGAGGTTGAACACGCCATTCTCACCTTCTGCCCATTAGCTTCTGGACTTTCTTCAGGCCAGCAACTCGTTCCACTCCAACCTTGTTCACTTTTACTTTCTCCTCATGCCTTCCATGTGTACTTCCTTCCTCTTTATGCTAGATCCCCATCATGCGTGTCAAATACCAGTCCCTCCTAGTCACCTGTCACCTCCAATCAGAGCATATGAGCTTGCAGCAGACACCAGACAATGCTCCTTCCCAACTCCAAGGAAGGTGCTTTTCCTGTTTTCCCATTCTTTGGGAAGAAAAATCAAAATGATTATGACATGGGCTAAGTTCACTGTCTGATTTGGCCCAGCTACCATGCTTCTAATTCTTTCCCTATTGGATTCATTTTCTCTTTTTTATTAGTTGGTATAGGGTCTCACTACCCAGCTTGGACTTACAATGATTCTCCAGTTTTCAGCCTCCCCAGAGCTGGGATTATAGGCCTGCACCACCACACCCATCCAGATAGCTGGCTCAACACACCTGGGGGCGGGGCCAGTGTGGCATGTGGTGCCAGGGATCAAACGCAGGTCCCTGCACTTGCCTAAGCAGGCGCTTAGTCCACTGAGCTAACTCACTGGCCCTAGGGTTTATTTTCTTTTGAGGGCACTTTCCTGCTCTGCCTCAAGGGATTCTGGCTTGCCATCTTTCAATGCAGGCAATTATGAGAGCCGCTATCAACATGCTTTCTACTGTTTCACTGGTTTTCCTTTTTGGCCCTTTTCCCAATTTTCAGAACCTCTTCTCAAAGAGGATTCTGAACCCATTAAGTCAATAATGCATACAGTTAAGCATAATTCATGTGTGCACCCATACAGATAGAGTTAGGTATGGGCACCTAATTGAAATACATTTATTTTCAAATATAAGAACAGGTCAATAGGCTTTGTATTTATGAGCCTCCATATGCTCAATGTAAAAAGAGAGCCAGACAGAACCCTCTTTTCACCCCAAGCACCTTACTTACGTGTTAGGTGAGGCAAGCTGAGTAGAGCAGGCTTTTGTCTACATGAAGTAATAATTGAGGTAGTTCCCAGGCTCAAACTATAACAAAGGAGGCACATACAGCTTGGTGCAATGGTAACAAAACTATGGCATGAGTGCCACAGTGGGCACACAGGGCTCTGCTAGCATCAAGCCAAGTTGCCCCAGCACTGCCCCAGCAGCCAAGCATCAAATAACAGTGCAGACAGGGCAGTGTTGGTACTTTGCAATCAATAAGTAGATTTGAGTTGCAGTTTGGGCATTCGATCTCAAAAAGATGTAGCATCACTGGTTTAGCAGGATCTTCTAGGATTATTGAATTTTAAAATCAACCCTGGTATTAACTTTTTAAAAAAGTCTTTGGTCCTGTCAAATATTTGTATTCAAATATTTTCCAGAAATTGGAAGAATATTCTTAGTAGTGGTCAAGGATATAAACACGTGAGGAAGAGAGCAATCACTGTAAGGTCGTTGATGTGTTTCTACCTGGTCAGATTAGACACAAATTGCTTGCTGGGGTCCCTCTACTCTTTCCAGATACAATTCCTGAAAAGTGAACTGGACAACCTGAGCCTCATCCTAAGATTCAGAGCAGATCCTCACTCACACACACACACACACACACACACACACACACACACACACACACAGTAAGCCCTGGCACATTTTTGTTAAGTGAATATATCCAAAAAGGGCTATATGCTTTTCCTAAACTCAAATATTCCTTTCCACTCAGAGATGCAAGTTCCTGTTCAAAGATAAAGAGATCAGTCTTTCCTGAAAGCACCACATTGCTGGTGAGAACAGCATGAACTGAAATTTAGTAGTTAGAGCTTTGACACCTAGTTCTGAACAGGAGATGTCAATGATGACCTTGTGTCCCTTTGCTCAACCATCTGTCCATCTGTCTATCCACCCATCTAGTCGTGTAAATCCTGGTGAAGTTGTGGATTCACACAGCACACTGTAGCCTTTCTCTGGAGGAACACTGACACAAAACTGTAAATTAAGTGAACATTCCCATCCCAACTAATCTGGTAGAACAAAATGAGTTCATAAACCAATCTACGCATCGGTCCAATGCAACTGTTTAGTACTTAAACAATAAGCCTTTCTTTGATCTTTAGCTTGTTTTTTGTATGTTGAAATCTATGCCACATTAGGTTACTTAAAATGTAAACATACATGCTAAAAAGCTTGTATAGGGACTGGGAATGATGACAGAAGAGACAAAATGGAATATAAGAAGTGACACTCCCACCCATCGCTCCGCCTTTAAGGAACTATGGTATCCACTAAGTGTTTGTTAAATGAACCACTACCATATGCTCACCATCATAAGGCATGTGGGGATGACAAAACACACTCTTGATCTGCTTTAAATCTGGTTAAGGAGCCTGGGGGTGTGTGTATCCCAAGTGGTATAACATGGGGCCTGACGCTAAGCTAAACCCAGGATGTCAGGCACTGAAGACAGCAATCATGAGTGAGAAGCGAAAGCTTCCAGAGGAGCACACTGAGCGGGTGTAGAAATCTGGGAGCATGAGTGGGTGTCCTAAAGGAAGTCAGGAAAGAAGGTGAAAGCACTGCCACCAACCTGGGAGAATCTAGACCTTCATTTTTTCAGCATGGACACCACCAGCAGCAGCACTGGGGAGCTTAATAGAAATGCAAATTCCCAGGCCTAGCCTAGAACTACTGAGTTAGCAACTATGGGTGTGGGGCCCAGCAATTTGCTTTGAACAGGTCTCCAGGTGATTGTGAGAGCTGCCCAAGTCAGAACCATTGAGTCAGAGCAAACCCTGCTCTCCCTTCATCTGGTAGAGCAGTGACCCCAGGCCTTTCCTCCTTCCTCCTTCCCCTCTGTAAGCTTTTGTGTTGGGGGCTGGATAGCTCCAGGGAGAGTGGGGGTAGGGGCTGGCTACCCTCTCCCAGTCTGCTCAGATGACACAATGTTCAGAAGTTGCATTTCCCACTGGTCTCTGTACAAAGCCCCCTAGTGTATCTTCCTCAGTGGCCCATAATCCTAACTGACACTTGGCTTTTAGGAGAACGAAGCTCACAAGATCTAGACAGAGACAGGAAGCAAATGGGACCTCTGTGGCCCACAAGTTTGGCCAGGATGACAGCTTTCCCTTCGCTTACAAGACTGCACCTGTCCCATAACCAGAGTTCTGAGAGTAACTCTAGAAGGCAAAGAAGAAGTAATCAGAATTCTACTTCTCTTTCAAATCAGATCATTAAAAAGAGCAGCAGGAGTATTTTGGAAATTGTTAATGAGTTCATTGAAATGTGCATAGCCCCTAAAGAGTAACAGAGTTTGACAGCACATACTCTTGCTGTTATTCTCACCAGCTATAAAGCTATGCATAATCTTTCCTGCTCCATAGCTTCTGTTTGCACAGCTCATATTCTGTTCAGAAGCACTCAGGTGTATAAAACCATTTTCTTCTGATATGCTAGCTTCTGGACCGACTACACTAGTGATGTGGCCCTTGCTCCAGTCATTGGGGCTGTCATGTGGCCTCATGACATGTATGCACAAAGCTTTATACTCTGAGTTATAGAAAGCGGTGTGACACACAGGGGTCTGGCCAACTGAGTAGGAGCCAACATTCTATTCACTTCCCCAAGAGTTGCTGTTTGTAGGTAGTTGTTGGATTAGATCTTAGTAGATAACCTATAGAGTGACATAGGCAAAGCCCCTGCTCCTTAAATGGGTTCATATGCTCCTGAGAGGATTATAGGCTTGGGCTCAGCCCCCACCCAGCCTCCTGCCACATATGTGTGCGTCAATAGTACTGGTTGTGATTCCAACATCTCTCAATCATCCACATCGACCTTCCCTCTGTATCTGGGCATCAGAGTGTATTTGGACATATGTGTATGTGTTAGAGGAACAGTCTGTTGTCATTTTACTAAAACTAAATGAACCACATTACAACACAGATGAACAATGAAGACAACATGCTCAGTGAAATAAGCTTTTCATAAAAAGATAAATTCTGATACACCTTATGCAAGGTGCATAGTCATGAGACAGCAGGTAGAATAGTGGCTGCCAGCATTGTGAGGAGAGGGAGAATGATAGTTGCTATTTAACAGATATGGAGGTGTAGTTTATCAGGGTGAAAGAGAGTTCTGGGAATGGCTGCACAACAATGTGAATGCACTTACTCACCATTGCAGTGTATTTGAAATGGCTAAGGTAGTAAACTATATGTATGTTTTATCCAATTTTTTAAAATGTTAAGTAGACAAGTTCTTGTCTTGTTCAACAGGGAACAATAAAAATGAAAAAATTAAAATGACAATAATAGGCATGTGGCTATATATACATGGGAAATATTCAGGTATATTTCAAGACATGATCTGTATTGTAAAAATTCCCTATGGTGCAGGTACCTATTATGTACCATAAAAATTACAAATGGAGACTGTGAGGCAAGAGAGACAGCGACTTGTCAAGCTTCACACTTGTAGTTTCCACAGTAGTAAAGAGCAAAGGGAACTTGGGGTGTGAGGTGAGGCTCCACAGAGCAGCAGGAGGCAGCTGCAAATGAGCTGGGCTCAGCAGAGGCCAAGAGGACACCGGGGAGATGCAGGTGGGTGTGCCACTCGCACCTGTAGTTTGACAGGCAGCTGGGCTTGCTCTCTCAAGGCCAGGCAAAAGCGCTGCGTGTGAGCAGGGCCCAGGTGCTGATGCTCATCCCTCATCTGCTAATCCTGACACTCGTCCTGCATCCCCAACCTTTCAGCACTTCTGCGCTGGGCAGAAGGGGTTGGCAGCCTCAGACAACCTTGATTCCCCGTTGTCCTCCTCTCTTCTTCCCTTCTGAGGTCTGCAGCACTCGTGTTCCTTTCCTGTCCACCCCATGCCCGCCCCCTTGGCAAGAATACCCCAGTACCTGGTATGTGTCAGTGGGCCCACTGGTCGCTCTGGCCTTCTTGGAGGCAGCGCACCAGGCCGGCTGAGAGAATTGGTCTTAGGTGGCCGAGGCTTTTTTGGCGGAATGGCAGGAACAGAGGGCTTCTGCAAATCCAGTTTTGGCTCTCGCTCTGGTCTTTCTTTAAGTTATTGTTTATCAGAACATGGAGAAAACACATAGATCTAGTATAAGTGACAGTACGTACATGCAGATGGATTATTTTGTGCTTTAGAAAAATCACTGATACCATTTCTAAAAGTAAAGTTGACAGCAAAATAAGCATCACTTATTCTTTATCAAGTTCAAAAAAGTCCCACAAAGCCACACCTCTCTGTTCCCCTCTTTCCATGTGTTTGCTCATGCAGGCCTCTCTGCCTCGAATGCCCTTTCCACCCCTGTCTACCCTGAGCCAGCTCCTACTCACCCTTCAGTGTCTGGCTAAACCATGTCACCATCATGTTCCTGCCTCAACAGCTGAACCCTCCTTCCATGGAAGATTTCTTCCTTCCTCACCTGAGCCCTTTTCCAAACAGGACCTGCTCAGACACTCTGCATACTTGGCACAGCCATAGGTTGCTGGCCTCTGAGAGTAGGGCCTAGGTTCTGCTCATCTCTCTAAGACCCTGCACAGTGGTGGTGCATGGCTGATGCTCAGTAGATGGCTGGTATGTTTGGTAACTGGCCCAAATGCCCTGCTGAGGAGGGAACCAGCCTGGCCCCTTTTGGGTTAGCCTCTGAAAAGGGTCATGAGCATTTCAGGGAACAATCCATTCTCGATTCCCTGTGTATAGTTTGAGCTCAGAAGACAAACTGGGACTTCACATATAGGTAGTTTCCAAAGCTTTTTGAAGTCAGAGTTATTAGGACAAAGTTTAAGCCAGACTTGGTGACCAAACTGGACAGTGTTCAGTGACAACTTCAAGTTTTCTATTTTCAACCAGCCTTGCCCCATGGTTACTGCAAACAGCATATACCTATACAGTTCTTGATGAAAATGGACATTTAGAGACTTACACACTGGAGCACAGATAGGCTGCTGTGTTGATGTGCAAGACAGTACTCAGAACTTGCACATACAGGCTCTGACAACTTTCACTTGTACATACAGGCTCCTGTTGCTTGGGTGGCCAGGCCAACTGGCAAAATCTTTAGAAACCCCACCAGGTATGGCACAAGTATCTTTGTGCTCATCTGTAAAATGTGTCTGTGGGGAAACAGGCTCCAACCAGGAATGCTAAGAACTCATTTTCTGGCACATGGGGGCAAGAAGAAGAGGGAGAAGGAGAAGAGCTTGGGTGAAATGCTAAGCAGGGGAGATGCTTCCTGCTGGGCAACAGGAAAAGGACAAGCACTTCCAGCAGGTTATAGGTTGAATGAGAGACTGGGTATAGGCTGACCTGACAGTGACATCAAGCCTCAAAGCAGGGCTTGCTCTTGGGCCTCCTTACTGCTTCTGAGCAGGGCTTCTGAATCCCTGACTCACTGAGGCACAGAACAAGTTCCCATGGTGTTGAAATTGGAATAACATGGGTATATATTCACTATTAGAAAAAAAAACACCTCAAGGGAGGGAAAAACCAGGGGTATATAGGTACTTGACCAGCCAAGGAAGGAGATGTCCACGTGTCAGCCTGTAAGTTGGTCCACACGGACCAGTGCAGAAAAGTGTCTTCAGCACATAGCTAGTTTAGCAACAAGATACTACTCATATGTCCTTTGTGAGGACAAGGGATGGTGTCTGGTTATTTCATAACATGTGCTTTTTAGCAAAGATCTATCTGTAACCTCAAGGGGCTATTTTTCATTGATCTGTGACACAGTCTTGGCCTTCACAATGGAGTGCTACAACTCAAATTCTACCTGTTCACTGTGAAAGAAAGAGGTATAGGTTCTTAGCAGCTTGTAATGTTGGTAAAACTTGCAGCAGGCTGATATGAAATATGCAATTTCACAATAAACCTTCAAGAAGCCACCAAGGAGCACTTCCAAATAATTATATTCATTAATTCAGCATTTCTCTTCTGATTCAAAATAACTGCTTTTTAAAATGGAATTTTCTCAGCCTCTGTTCCTAATAACAACATGGCACTTTTCCCATAAAAATGTGTGATCAATCAAATCTTAGGCACCAAATAAAATGAGTCCTTACACAGCTTGCAGATTTCTTTGGAAGAGACACTCAGAATGGTAAGAATCAAACACATCTGTAAAATTGACTGTGTGAGATTCAGCCACTTCCCTGCCAATGCCACTCCTGACCACCTTCAGGAGACTCTGAGCATTGGGGTGCTCTTCCTCAGTATTGCCATGCCTTGCTCCCCTAGCCACCAAGGTTCTTCAGCAAGGACATGTATCTGCAACCTTGTTAACCCACCAAATGCCCAGTAGTGATCAAGGAAGAGCACTTTCATCTATATGAAAGGGAATTTTACTAAATCAAGTCTATCTATCGACAGCAATGAGCAAGCACCCTGGGCACTAGGCACAGAGAAGAGGCTAGATGAAAACTGCCAGCTACATTCAGGAACCTTCAGGAACTCAGTGTCTGCCATTTCAGGGTACAGACGAAATGGCAACGGCAGAGACATCACAGAACAGTACCTGTGATGAGTGACTGGTCTGGTTGTCTTTCATTTACTGAGAAACTCACCCTATAAAGTACCCCCTCCTATTTCCTTAGAAATAGGATGTTAATAAGTATTCAAAACAAACCCATAATCATCATATTCTAAGGAAAAAGCGAATTCTATGGGTAATCTACACTAGCACTGGGACAGATAATGTTGGCTCTAATTGTAGAGCTGCCAGTGAAGAATTGATTTCATACCTTTTTCTTCAGTTCTGTTCGGAAGTGTTTCCGGTCTTTCAGGAGGTATCTTTTTAATTTCATGTTTTCTCTCTGTGGTACCTAAAAGGGAAAGGATAACAGTTAACAGAAAATGTTTTCATTTATTAGACATACCAAGGTTTAAATATTTATCAGGTACATCCAAGGCAATACACTTTTTTCCCATCAGCTGAGTGCTGGTATTACCTGGCTAACATGAGTTGCAAGTCATTTCCAGCCTATGTCATTAAGTTTGCTTCCCTACATATACTTATTTTATAAGAAAACCAGTGACATTTTCTGAAATTTAAAATTGCTTTCTTAAGCGTAAAAAACAGTCAAAGGCTATCAGAGTAGAGATGAACAGTGTGTAAAAATAAAGAAGTCACTCAGCAAAATGTACAAATAATGGGTTACTGGATATCATGCTCTAGAAACAAGTGATTTCATGTGGACCTGAATTCAATCTTGTAATAGTTTTAAAATATGGCCTGGAATTGTCTGATACTCTTTCCACTAAAGGTGGGATCCATATCCTTTGCCTGGAATGTGGGCAGGTTTGCAACTGCTTCAACCAATGGCCTAAGAAATACATAATTTCGAAAGCCATGTCATAAAAGGTCATCAAGTTCACTTACTGGAATACTGAAACTTTCTTGTAATAATTCAACTACCCTGTAGAGGCCACATGTAGACACTGTGGCCTACAGCCTGAGTTGGACCAGCCTTCCACGTACCCCACCACAGGGAACGAACAGGGAAGTGAAGCAGCTAGTCCAGCCCAGGTCCCAGCCTTGGTGGAGTAGAAACAAGTCATCCTGCCCATGTCCTGTCCACATTCTGACTCATACAATCTGTGGGCATAAGAAGAGTGCTAATTTATTCTGCTAAGCTTGGAGTGATTTACAATGTAGAATACCTGGAATATAAAACCGAGGGATATGCAGAGATGTTACACGCGTTCTCCCTAAGTCCTTTCTCTGTGTGTTTGAACTCCTCAAGTATCACACTTTTCCAAATGACCACTCAGCATTTATCTTTACCCATGTGTGTTGTAGCTGCTCCCCCACCTGAGATCTGACGGTACCTTAGCCATGCAGAGCACTTTGGAAATAGCTAAGCACATACCAATCAGAAGTACCTCTCTTTATTTATAGACTTGAGTGCCTAACAAACTCTTCACATGACCCACCCCAAAAGATGAGTGCTTGTACTAAAATCTCAATTACACAGCCTCAGAGCCTAAAAGAACTTTTAAGAAAACAATCCATTGAACACACATTTCATCTGAATCCCTTTAATGACTCACTATAAATTAACACTGTATCTGATGTACATCAATTCCATCTGTTTTTTTTTTCTTTTGGTCAAGGAAAGTTGATTATGAGGAATATACAAATATTTACCTCCTTATCATAAAGCATACCCTCAGCAGGATAAATGAGCAGCAGCAGTAGTCTAAGAGGATGAACTGTCATCTTCATTTGTCACACAGAGACCCATCACAAATGGTAAAATTATTTTAAAAATAATAACTTGCCTACATGCTATAGTATAGCTTTGTAATGACAGTGGAGTTCTCATTCCTAGAGATTCAAAAAGAATTAACAATTCCACTACCTTGAAAAATCCAATCCTAGTTCCTATATGCTAGGTTGCCTAAGCTTTACACCACTTCGTTCATCTCCTTAGTTTCCAGTTACCAAAACCTCTAGGGGAAAAGGGGTCTACAGAGTAAAACACATAAAAAGCCTGCTTTAATCTCAACATAATAAAATATTTATATGGCAAGAACCACTAGGTGGCAAAATGAAACTGCTCAACACCAACAGGGATGGATGGGGTGGAGCAGATATAATTAACATCCCATTTCAAGGCTTAATCTCTGTAATTCTCAATTATACCCAAGGAAATGGGAAAGAAATCTGGGGTCAAGCTGATTTCCTTCTCCAACTTGATGGGCCAAAGATAACTTTAAAAAATCATTTCTTAATAAATTTATGAACACACCAATCTGAAAATGTATTCATACTTTAAATGTCATAGACATATCATAATTGTGTAGAACTAAAAATATTCCTAGTCTTTTATTTTAATACTTTTTTAAAATGCTACTTCAGGCACATGCCTGTAATCCTAGCACTTGGGAGGCTAAGGCAGAAGGATCATGGTGAGTTCAAGGCCAGCCTGGGCTACAAAGTGATCTCAAGGCCAGCCTGAAATGCATAGCAACACCCTGTCTCCAGAAGACAAGATAAATAAATAAATAAATAAGCTCCTTAGCTAGTTATTAGTGGAAGAATGCTCCCCCACAATTAGCTATAACAATTACAAAGAAGAGCTGTGGTGGGAAATATGAATCATCCTCTATATGTACGAGAACCCAGGGTGCAGTGAGTACCAAATGTCCAATATCAACTCCTGTATTTTTCAGCTTTATTATTTGAACAATACAGAAAAGGCGAATTGGATTTTTTTTAAGATTTAAAAAAATCCAAGGGGAAATTATTTATGCCTAGAAAAGCATCTTTTAATTGAAGGGAAGTAAAGTAAGTTCAAATTTTGGTCAACCACTCTGGACAGACATTAAAAAGTCAGCAACTCCCTACATGCACAGTGATGCTACAGCCCATGGGAACACTGCAATCTTCCCTATACCAACCCTTGAAAGGACATGGGGAATACAGGACAAAATCAGGTTCTTCTTTCTTTAAAAGCAGTTTATTAAAAACAAACTCAACAACTAAAGCTGATTTACTTTAAAAGTTTTTTTTCTGATCATTCTCTTGGGAGCCTTAGGTTTTACACTACATAAAGCACACATTTTAGTGACATGTTTTTGTCTTTAAGAAAAAGCAGCAGTTTGCAGGCATTCCTCATTTCACAGCTGAATTGTGATCCTATAGCCAGGTCTCTAAATGAGGAATTGGATATAGCATGTACATTACAATATTCAGAGCAAAGAAATGGTCAGAGGCAACTCCAACTTGATGACTTTGCTTTTATTTCCATAACTCTTATATACAGTGCTGTAATATATAACTGAACATAAAACTATCATAGTATACTGTACAGTACAATCACCAAAAAATTACACTGCTGTATAAACAAAGGGTACTGTACAAAAAAGACACTGAGGCTCTAAAAACAAGATGTACAGAATTGTACAAAAATAAGATGGGTTATTAAGTCTGAAAAATGGGTTCTAAGTCTGAAAATCATTAAACAGGTTCTTAAAAGGGATATCTGTATTTAAAAGCTGCCCACTGAGATCCAGGCATAACTTCCCATTTTGGTGATTTATGCCCATTTGCAGGCAGGCTTCTTGATCTCAAGGACAATTTAAACACAGGTAACAGAAAGACAGACCTTATGCTTTATTTGATGGAACCAAAAGATACATTACCTGCCCCTTGTTTGATGACAGGAGCGGAAGGAGGTGGTGGTTTCTTGGGTCTCTGAAAAAATAATCAAAATTATACCGCATGAGACTGTTGGCAAACTGTCCTCTTACAGAAGGACGACAGACATTTTCTGTGTGCAGTGTGGACAACTTAGAAAACCATTCCAAAAATACTGAGCAATTTTCTCTCCAGGGACGTCATATTTCAGTACTTCTAAACAAACACTTAAATAAATTCAGTCAGCAAAACAAAACTGATCGACAAACAAAACACCATTTCCCCCTTTCTAAATCTGTAACACACTTCTGGAAAAGTGTGGCTCAGCAAACATGGCCTGAAACTAGCAAGCACAATGGTACTCTACTCCTACACTGAGACTGCATTTGCAATTAAGATTTAATCTGCTGAATAATCAAGCATTTGGAGAAGATTCACTGGGAAGACTCAAAATCTAATCTGCTGTGGATGTGAAAAGCTGAGGGTTTGCTGCATCCCGGTGGGGTTCTAAGCCTCCTGCCCTTTTCTGCACCAACAGTTCCAGGGCATTTGCAAGGTACCTGTGGACCAGTTGCACCTACCCATCTGAGATAAACTGGAATGCAGGTTTTTGAAAAGCAGCTGCTATTGGTTTTTCTTTCCCACACTGTTACTGTGTAGATGACAGGGGCCTTCGATGGTGTTTGTTTACCCCTGAAGTGTTCCCAGAACCACCATGCACTTCTTTGTTATCTAGAATCTACTGCTGGGAAGGAGGAGATGTTCCTACTAGACTTTGCAAATGATTCAGTGGTCAGAGAATGCAGCCACTGTGTCATCTTTGACAATGTGATAAGAGCAAAGGGGTATAGCAAAGGCAAGGAGCGAACCACTCAGTAGCGGAATCATTAAAGGATGGAAATGTGAGAGTTGGAACATACGACCCTTGTTGCTTCCCATGCTTCTCAACCTCTGGGTATCCGTGTATCTGTGATTTTAATAAAGGTCCATAGAGCCATTTCTGTTCTCTGCAAATGTACTACTGTGACATTGTCATAAGGACTAGTAAAAACACATGTTCAACCCTAGCCCCAACGCAGGGTGCCTAACGTTGGTGCCTAACAAGCACATTGGTGCCTAACGCAGCACACAGCTATAATAATAAAAGCTTTTAACTAAAATCCAGAGAATATGAGACCTACAGGGAACTTTCTCGGGGGCATCATAGCATGTGGGCTCTGGGTTCAATAATTTAAGGCCTGCTTTTCACTGGTTTAGTGATTCTGACAAGTTACTCTGAGTTAACAGTATAGCATGGTGAGACATTGTAGACTGTCCCTGAAAGTCTCTTTCCCTTGCATGGGACAAGCCCTAGACATGGAACAAGCAACTTCACCTAACTGTTCCTTTTCATCTATAAAAGGCAAGGAAGGAAATTGACTCTTAGGAGGAGGTGGTGTCAGAAAGAGTAAGTTCTATTTTAATGGCTGAGACTACTCTGTAAGATAGTCATAGTAGTATGCTCATTCTGCCACTGAAATAACTGAGATCTAAAGAGATGTCTTTTCCTAATGTCATCAAGCTACTAAATGAGGCCGTGGGGTTGTTAGGAGTCAAGCCCAGGGATGTTTGGCCAATAGGATGAAGCACCCATCTTGCCAAAGAACACCCACAAGACAAACCATCATGTGGTCATAATACTACATACATAAAAGCACAGGGAACTATTATGCTGAAGTTGGAAGAAGAAAATGGGTATCAAATTGCAGCTACAGTATGAGCTCAACTATGCGGCAACACTTACAGAAAGAAAAAGACGAAAAAATAAATTTAAAGTGATGATCTCTGATTAGTACTATTATGAGAGTATATGTGTGTTTCTTTCCTAATGTGTTTTTGTACTGTCTACATGAGTACAGATAAATAAGATTTATAATAAAAAAGCATGCAACTCTAACGGTTACCTCTCCTTGTACAGGCCTTGAACTAAGTGGATATGTTTCTGACTCAGGGTCTTCAATTATTCTACTTCCTGTGTCAGTCCCTTCCAGTTCTCTACCATCTCCTTCCTTTTCCTTCCTCTCTTCTCTGTCTTTGTGTAAATTAGACTGGGGACAGATGTGTGCCTACCTAATGAAGTCATCATTGAAACTCTGCCAATTAACCTTCCTGTACCTCAGAATGAGAGTAATTGCTTATTAATGAAACTGCCAACACCCTTTGGCCTAATTCTTCCCAGCCAGCAAAGTCCCAACAATGCCTACCCCTGGATGTCTCCATCGCCCCCTACTGGTATGAAATTTGCTCTGACCAATATCATATGTGCTTTCTGTAACACAGACCATTACCCCATCAACCATGCCTCAAACCACATGGCCCTAAATTTAAAAACAACAAAAAAGACAATTATAAGTCATCATATTTTCCAAGCTTACTCAGAAATAAAACCCCTTAGTGTTGTGTAAGACTTAGCATGCATCAGATACATGACTATCACAGGGTTGTGCAGGGATGGGGGAAAGGCAGTGAATAAGGGAGTTGTGGGGCAAGAGGACAGGAAATGTTAGCTGACAGTGTGTGAAGAGTATGGTCATGGCAAATGTGTGCATGAATGCAGCAAAGGGAGGAGGCAGAACAGTGCATTTGTGTTTGGAGCTGTGGCCATTGTGGAGATAACTGGGGCACTTCTAAAAGGAAGGGGCAACTCAGGAGCTATGTGCCTTGCATCTGCCACACTGCAGTATCACTGGCCAGGTGCCTCCTTTGCTTGTTAGCAGAGAGTTTACAGCTGTTGCTCCTCCTTTTTCTTCCCTTGACTGATTTCACTTTCTCTGGTTGACGGCCATCATGCCTCTCCACATGAGAAAAGACCATCAAGTAAGATGTCATTTAAGGTAATTCCAAACAAAATTCAGGCCTAGCAATCCATCCAGCTCTAGACCACACCTAAGAGACGAATAAAGTATTACACATGTACCTACTTCTTTTTAGTACAACTAAAAGGGCTGAAGAAACTGAGAAGGTAAATTGAATAAGCCATTAACAAAATGTGAGAAAAATTTCTCCAGTACAAAGTCCCTATGATGAAAATAATCATTTTGTATATTTAAAATGTACCAATAAACTTAATCAAAAATTTAAAAATATATTACAGGAGTTCATGATTCTCAAAGAAAAGACATGAACAGATCCTGGAGCTGATTTTCCTTAAAATGTCAATTGTGGCTGGATATAGAAAATGGAACTGGGGGTCCTTCAGGGTAAGCAGTAGGTCAAGGTGTCCTCCATGCAGTTGGACAGCCATGTAATATTAAGTAGCTATAGATACACAGAATCATCCTGCCAACTCAGGCAAGGAGCTAGAGATCTAAATGTTTGGAGGCATTCATTCCATATAGTCTTTTATCTCTCCTTCCATGGTGAAAGCAAGACACTCCAGCCCCAAACTTAGGCACTTCTGCCTGCTCAGTTTACAGGTGCTTTTAAAAGAAGCAGTATATGTTAAGAGGGATAAGTGATCAGAGGAATCCTCTTGATAGCTAAGAAAACTGAGGCTCAGAGGGGCTGTGACAACAGCTAGTTGGTAGCCTGAGGGGACCTAGAACTCATGTTTCTCAATGTCCAGACTGTACAGATTCATTTCAAAAGAGCTATCACAAAAATGTCATAACAAAATCAGTGAGCCAACATTTTCTGACTTCTGGGAAATCCAAATGCTTTCCATGTATTCATATATGCAAGACTCACAGGCCTAAGTGATGTGTATCTGTGTGTGCCTGCGTGTGGAGTTGCTGGCTTGGATGGAGATGCCATATCATCCTTCAAAGGACAGATTGGCTTGATTTGATTTTTACTGTTATACTACTAGGAAGGAAATAGATCTGAATGTTCCAGTGTAAGGATGACAGCAAGGCAAACTTTGCTTCCTGGTGAAGGATTTCAGAACTGACTAAGCCTTTTGTTTGCCAAGAGTGGCTAATCTCCAGTGTAAAAATGCATCAGCTGGCTCAACTGCTCTCCCTGGCAAGAATTCTGATCCACCACTTGGACTCTTGTGCCATTTGCCTTCAGAGCACGGTGCCCCAAGATAGGTTTTGTTGAGAATAAGCAGGGGAGTATACCCTGAAGGCTGGGTATACCTAATGGGTTGCTTTGTTTATTTTCTATTGCAATATTCTGTTAGGGTATCTGAGGATTGGGTATTTTATAAAGAGGTTTACTTTGGCTCATGGTTCAGGAAATCCAAGTACATGGTGCCAGCATCTTCTGTGTTTCTGGTGAGAGCTTCATGCTGTTTCAACTCATGGCAGAAATCAGAGAAGGATGCAAGCATAGGAAGAAAGACTATGTATGCAAAAGAGACTGTAGAAAGGTGCCAGGACTGTTTTACAACAACCTACCCTTGTGAGAACTAATCTAGAATCAAGAGAACTAATTTGGTCTCTCCAGAAATGCATCAATTCATTCACAAGGGTGGTGCTCCCGTGACCTATCTCTTAAATGTCCTACTCTCTCTCAACACTGTTAATGAGGATCAGACCCCTACATGAGTTTGGGTGGGGACAAATCATATTCAAGCCCTGTATGTGGAGGGGGTTTTGTTCAGAGAATATAAGGGTTCAGAAGCAAATCTAAGCTTGATTTTGGGCAACACTGGACCTTGGGAAGCCCTTCCATGTCCATCTAAGTTCTCTGAATGCTAGAGAAGATACACAAATGGATAGTTCCTGACCAGGATAACCCTTGTATTCTAGAAACACATGGAAGGCTGCCCTTTCCCTTCTGCCTTTGGAGATCTAGTCACACTTTTCAAGTCTGCAGCTGGGACATACTCTAGGAAATGACAGTGTCTATAACTGCTCCACTGCTTGTTCTGGAGCCTCAGCAATGCCTGCCCTGGCACTGGCAAAGGAGATCCCCAGGAATCACTGTATACCCTTGCTCTCATGAAGGTTTCTCTCTAGTTTACTCCCAGCCTCAATCTCTAACCTAGTGTTCTATATTCATGGTCTCCTCTTAAGTGGGCCCATCCATATTGATGGCCTCGTGGGTGGTCAGCCAGGCTTTGACATTTAGCTTCTCTCAAAAATGCTCTTTCAGTTCACCTCCTTGATTCACTCCTTCACTCTACCCTCTTTACTATGAAGGACAAATGCTCAGTGCAGGCAGGTCCACATGTTCCAGGCTGGCTGACATCTCAGGGGTTCTTTCGAGAGTTAGCTGCCAGCCCGATACTCAGGTAACTTTGGGAGTTGGCAGAAATTCTGAGAGTTGCATCATGATCACAGGGACATCTTTAGGGCAAGTTTCTGAGTCCCAGTGGCTGAGAAAACAGGTCTTGCACTGTTGCTCATTCACTAGGAAGACACCCAAAGCACTAATGGTGAACCTTTTAGTGCTTTCAATAATAGAAACAGCCTGCTGAAGAACAAATGCCATACGTTTGTCACCACTGACTTAGGTGAAGCTTAGGAACACCTGCTGGTGACATGGACCAAAGTGATTTGAATGGTTTCTCTTGCAAGAACTGCAGCCTGAGACTTGTGAAAGACTATCTTTCAGAAATATTATCTGAAACATATTCTAATTTTTGTCTTTAGTATCAGCAAGGTGTTATTTCTGCTGTCCTTTAGAGCCCAAGTTCCTCATTATCTTTCCATTACAATGCCAGAACACACACATTGCTTCATTAGAGGTTTCAGAATATTTAATCTTTCCATTCTAATGTCCAATTTTACTGTCAAGGCTCAAAACAAACAGACAGCCTTTGAATCTAGGTCCTCTCATAAATAGCTTACATAATTGCTCTAAAATATGCACTGAGAGATCAGTGTGCTCTCCTGGAATATCTTGAGGGAAAGCCTCAAAGTATTTGTCACGCTGGAGAAAGAATCCGCTGAATGCTCTCAGGAAGAAAGACCATCAAGAATTCCAACAAGCCTGGTGGTAACTGCCTAAATCCAGGGCCCCTCTCCAAACTACAGCAGCCTCATCAACAAGCACAGATGATGTCTACTGAGTCAAGAGGCCTGCTGTTGAAGAAATGCCTTTTGCTTCTGTCTACCCTAATCATCACAGACTGTCCTCTTTTCTGAATGATTGCAAGCCTAGCCACTGGCAAGACAAGATGACATCTGCTAAAACCAGTGCCAAAATGTTTCAGAGTTTGTCATTCACATAGTGCCTGCATGTTGATGATTCTAATCATCTTTACAGTGTCAACTGATCAAATGACAGCCCAATCACTAGTCATGCTGTTGCCAATATACCAGTGCTATGGGTGCAGCAATAATGGCTGGCTTAACAAACAGTACAAAGCTGGTTGGCTGGTTTTATAGGACAGAGGAGATGAAAAAGAAAGTTATACTTTTTTTAAAAAAAGCTAAATGTCCTATTATATAATCACTTTTCAGCTCTAGGTATTACTTTATCTGACAGGTATGCCTATTGTTTCCCTAAAATTGGGTTTTCTGCTTCATAGGGACAAGGTTAAAAGACTCCTTATCAAAGAGAACAGTGGCTGCTTGTCTCGAACTGGAGACATGTCCCTGGGGCTGTAAAGAGCATGCATGTCCCAACAAGCAAGCCATGCGGAGCCCACTCATCATTGACAACCTCACTCTCTTAGTGGAAGTGCTTCCTTTAGTGCCTTATGTAACACACAGCTCTTAGAAAAGTACACTACAGAGTCAGAGTCAGTCTTGCTTGAGTGAATTTGTTTTCCCACTTAAAAAAAAGTCTAGAAAGTAAAAGGCAGGCAGTCCACAATGGAGGTCAACTGCAGGTTGCACTTATTTGTTAAAAGAATGATGCAAATTCTACTTTAGTCTTCAAAACCATATTTCCTGTATCATAAAAAGGATAACTATATAAGGAAATATATGTGTTAATTACATTTAGTCCTTCCACAATGTTATACATATAGTTATCTCTTGGGTTCTGTGAGGGACTGGTTCCAGGGACCTCGATGGATATCAAAATCCATTGATACTCAAGTTCTTTGCATAAATTTGTGTTGTATTTGCATATAACTTAATCATATTCTCCTGTATACTTTAAATCATCTCTAGGTTACTTATAATATCTAGAGCAATACAGGTTTAATGCATATAGCTTTTGTACTATATTTTCGGGGGAATGGCAACTTAAAAAAGTATGTACATGTTCAGTATAGATAGAACTTTTTTAATGTTTTTGATTTGAGTTTGGTGGAATCCAGGGATGTGGGACCTGCAGATACAGAAGGCTGACTACACTTCGAAACATCATGTTGCACATGGTAAATACATGTGATTTTATCTGTCAGTTTTAGAAAAGCAAACCATACTATCTCAATCAGAACCAGTAAAGTGGAAAATGTCTAGCAGGACAGCATGCTTCCTAAGATTCTTTGGCAAATGGAGAGGAGTCATCACAAAGGTTTTAGTGGCCCAGAACTGTGTTTTACCAGCCCCACAAAGATAGCTGAGAAGCTTGCAACAGGCAGTCTGGCTGGCCCCTTGCCTCCATGCAGCTGGATTCTCAATACTCTTTTAGAAAGGCCCAGCAAGCCTCAATAGCCTTGAACACCAGGCTTGCTACCTAATCTAAGCCCGCAAGGGTAACAACTATATGTATACTCTACTTCCTAACAATCACCATGATGGCTTGCTCAGAGAAAAAAACTCAATAAATACCGAGTAAACAAATGAAAATAAAGTACAATACAAGCAGTAACACACCTCTAGAAATGTATTTCATATATCCATGAATGTCTTTTAGTGACTACTCATTAAAGATTTTATATGCCTTTTGATTCCCATGGAAACTAAGACACCACAATAACTGAGTTGATTTGACCAAGTTGAAGCCAAAAAAAAAAAAAACCAAAACAAAAAACCAGATTCGGCCATGCAGCACTACTTCATAGTTCTATTGGAGTCTTTCCCCCTACTCTGAGGTAATAATAATTATAATGATCCGGACAGTTAGCAGCTTCCAGCCTTTTTTTTTTTTTGGGGCAGTACTTGGGATTGAACTCAGGCCCTTGCGCTTGCCAGGCAAGCACTTATTCTATTGAGCCATCTCCCTGGCCAGCTTTCAGACACTGTGCTAAGAAATTCATGTACCTCATCTCAGTCAACCTTAATGGTTCAACAGGATAAGTATAATTATTCTCACAATTCTATGAAGCAGAACACTGAGGCTTAGAGATATTCAGTGACATGGCCTTCACTACAAAACAAGTGACAGAGGAAGTATTCAAATCTATACCTGTCTGATGCCACAAGCTGCAGCAGTGGTGGCCAATCTATGGCACATGTGCTACAGCTGGACATTTGTCATCATTTGAAGCTCTAAAAGGTTTGCCATCACTAGCCTACAGTTACAACTATGATACTCTATAAACGTTTGCTGAAACTAATTTTTGAGTCTCACTATTTCAAAATTTTTCCTAACCAGTCATCATTATTTAGAATCTATTTTTCTTAGTGACTGATTTTCCTGTCAATTGACAACCTACCACTGCCATAGTCATTAGCAAATGTCTCAAACTATTTTGCTTCATAAAAATTTCCTTATTTAACAACAGTGTGAGTTTACTTCCTTCTTAAAATGTGGGGGGAAGTGGATAGTGGGATTGCTGTCATTCAGGTAGATCTGTTGCATACCAGTGTTTCCCAAACTTCAATAGGCAAACAGACTACCTGAGAATCATGTCAAAAACAGTTTCTCATTCAGCACACATAGGGTAGGATGTATGCATCTCTCATGAGCCCTTAAGTTATATTGATATTATCGGGCTGTGGATCACACTTTAAGTATTAAAGATCCAGAAAACATTGGGAAATGGAGTCTAGATTCTTATTACCAAAATTCATACTCTAAGAAACAATAACAGGTATAGTACAGACTGCATTTCTCCCAAACAATACAAGAGAGCAAGCTATCAAGAAACATAAAAAGTGTCCCTAGGCTTCAAACGCATCTGAATATCTATAAATCACAGTCTTGGCAGATGCCAACACCGGCCAATTTTGCAAACAATTACAATCATTTGTTGAAGCAGCATTAAGTGCTAGTTTACTATCTTTAGCAATCAACCTACCAGTATTGTAGTAATCCTTCCCACACCTCAGTTCTATTGGAATGGAAATGTATTAGGACTGGGTTTGACAGGAAACCAGTATCGGAGCTCTCAGGCATGGAAAGATGGGCAGAAGGCATGCACAAATTTGCACAAAGGGCACTGAGGTGCAGAACAGGATGGGTAAGACCGAACTGCTGCCCCTTTGCATGAAAGTATTTTTAGTTTTTCAACATTTCTTATTACATACAGCACTGGTGGAGAAACAGCACATATGAAGCAAAGCAAACCCAAATGGATTGGCTGGTTTAAACAGTAGCATTATTGAATGGGTTTTCTCAAAGAGAAAACACAGATGAGAAGTGTGTATGTACATAATACATATACGTAAACATGTACACACAATGTATGTAGTGTAGGAAGATTAGCAGGCTTCATTCTTCATATCATGCTTTTCAGCAACTTCCACAATATTAATTACTTCACTGCCCCCAAGAACTATGCTATGCAGGATATAGGCCAACCACTTACCAAACACAGCAATCCAAAATTTTCGCACTTTATTTGGGCACTCAAATATGCCACGTACCTTATTAGGTGCCTTATACACATTATGTTGCCTTATCACATGTAACCCCAGAATAGCGATCATTGTCAGCAGCTGGAAGATGAATTCTATAATAGACTTGTTATAGGCTATATAGGCAGTAAGATCTCAGAACCCAGGCCCATCAAACATTCAAACCCCAGTATTCTTCAACATTATACCAAACGCCCCCCCACCCCTCATCTTAGTCTCATCGAAGATACAATTCTAGTAGCATGCAGAACACTGAGATCAAAGGCATAGAGACTTACATTTCCCTCCTTATCAAAGTCTGGCGGAAGTAACTTCACGAAGTTATCAGGGAACACTCCTCGTCTGCCGTTGAGCTCACCTTCCCACCAGCCTATGTCAATGCAGTCCTGGAAACAGGAGAATAGAGTGAGAAATGGGAGCCAGCATCCTCCAGAGAGGCCTAACATCCCTTTACAGAGAACAGAAGCTGCCTCTTTGAGACCAATATCAACAGGACAATAGTTACTAAGTCTGCACAAACCCCAATGTCAGAGGGAGAATAAAAGCTTAGGTGTGCCACAACTGCTAATTGAGACTCAAAACCCAATGCTATTTTGAAATGCCTTGAGTCCATAAAGTCTTCTGTTTTATTTCCTTAAAGATGAGAAAATATGTATTTTCTTCATTTTAACTTTACCAAAATAAAAGTATTTAATTAACTGGAAAGGTGGTTTAGAAAACATCACATGTACAAATGTTCTCTTCAGTTAACCTGTCACAAAGCTCATCAAGATTAAAAAAGGCTTTGTGACAGTCAGCCAAGCAAAGGAAAATCAAACTTTACACAAGCTCGTTAATACCCTGCTCTGCTTCACCTTCTCCTTTTGATATTGATGAGGCACAGTTGTCACCATAAAAAGCCCTTCTTCCACCTTAAAGGAGTCAATGTTTGCTTACCAAATGAATGAAGACCCCTAACCACTGCTCCAGATCAAAACTGCTTCCATTTGAATGATAATTTCTACTCTGTTCATTCATTCACATAATATTTCATGAGTAGCTACACTATGCCAGGTGCTAGAAAGAGAGGGCAACCACCAAGTCTGGCAAGAGCCTGGGCTTCTCCAAGCTTCTACTGTGGATTCACAGTTATCTTAGGCCAGTGATGGCAAGAGTTTTAGAGCTCTCAATGATACAAACAGCCCGCTGTGTCATGCATGCCATGGGTTCACCACCATTGTCCTAGGTACTCTACCTTGGCTCACAAAACCTGCTCTAGTTTTTCTCCTTTCAATTGCTTAGAAGTCCAGTTCATTCGGAATGAATTTGTCCTCTGGATCCTCTGGCTCCTCCTGATCCAACATCACTTCTACTGCTCATGTTCCTCCAATACTCATGGCATTGGGGAAGGAACCAGGAGGGCACCAGCATTAGACATAGGTCTCAGGAGGGCTATGGCTTATGTTGTTCATTTTTGCCTTGCAGAGCAAATATTCTGAGAGGTGAGTTACATATCTGATTTTGTTTCATCATTATACCCCAGCCCTTTGCATGGTGTCTCATAAAATAAGTAATATCTGTGGAACCAAAGAAGGCTTTTTCTAGCCCCAAGATCTGCACTCTCCTCTAATCCAATACTTAAATTACTCCCAGACAAAATGGAGTAATCTAGCTACTTGAATCCATAGGGATTCCACATAAATTAGCACAAGGTCTGCCTCAAGTGAGAAACATATGATCATCACTTTCCACTTCCTCGGTGGTACTTGTTACAAGGTTAAACTGACTCCAGAGAAGATAATGCAGACTTCAGAGATGAGCCTTTAGTCACAGACTACAAATTCGAGTCCTAACTGACATAAAAAATCAAATACATTTGAAGCAACAACTTCAGATTTAATAAGAAAAATGACAGGTCCAGGTAAACAGTAGGATGCTGTTTCTGCTGCATTCTCACCCCCTAAACAATCTAGTTCCTGAAGAAGAGATTCTCAAATAGGGGTTGTAGTGGTAGGATCTAGTGACTTCCAATATCTTTATAGATATTATAAACAATACTAGAGGGCTGGAGAGATGGCTCAGTGGTCTAAAGCACCTACTTAGAACAAGCTTAGCAAAAGCATCAGGGACCGCGGTTCAATCCCCCAGCACCACATGCCAGCCAGCCCTGCCCCCTGGTGGGCTGAGCTGGCCTCTCTCTCTCTCTCTCTCTCTCTCTCTCTCTCTCTCTCTCTCAAATAAATAAATAAATAAAAATTAAAAAAAAATAAACAATACTAGAAAAACTTGCAAAGGAAGGAGAAGTGAAATTTCTTTACCCCTAACCTTTAGAAATTACGTTTTCGATCCAGAAGGTTCTGCTTCCAAGGAGATTCCTGGCACAACTTTTTCTCCTTTCTTTAGGAATATGTCTTTCAAAATCCATCTTGAAATTTGCATTTAGGAAAGTGATTATGATGAATGCCTCCTTATTTTTTATCTAACACTCAGTTCTGTACTTCTCATGATACTCAATTCAAGAAACACCAATTAAGTGAAAGATATATTTCACTTCTGTAGGTACCACATTTTAGACATGCAGGGAACGTGGTACCTATACCTGGGATCTCAGAAACATACAAGAAAGACAGAGACACAGTATTCCTTAGGATCTTTGTTTTTAGGTAACAGGTATCAATGAACTGTTCTGGTACCAAAAGCAGAGAACTAACAGCAGCCATTCAAATATAAGCTTTTATTTTTGGTGGTGGTGGTGGTATTGGGAATTGAACCTAGGGCTTTTGTATTGAGCTACATCTCCAGCCCTTTTTATTTTGAGACAGGGTCTCACTAAATCACTAAGTTGCCAAGGTAGGGCTCAAACTTGTGATCTTCCTGTCTCAGCCTCCCAGAGTGCTAGGATTACAAGTGCGTGCCACCATGCCCAGGTAACAATAGATTTTAAAATCTTCTCACATGTGAAGGGATTGCTTATGGAAAAAACAGGACTTTCCCCTACATTTGGATTCATTTGGATCATCTAATACAAAATTATGTCTATGAAAGCTATACAAATATTGTATAGCGCTGTCTCTTTCCATCTTTCCAAATGGTGCAAAACCATGCTCCACCTTAACCTTATGCAAACGATAATCCAAACATCATTTTGCTTCATATGTCAGAAAAACAATAAAGAGAATTTTAATAAGCAAAAGCCTATCCAGAATCCCTTGAGAACTCCTGCATGCCTACAGGGGAAAAGAGCACATAATAACATATTTATCAATTCTCCCATTGGTGATGACTGCCTTAGATGGTCCATCTATACTCTGTTCCTTAAGGAAAACAGCCACAATGCTAATCACCATGCAATTCAAAGTAAGAAAGGGACAGCAGAAAGGCAGAACACAATATGTCTAATTGTTCTGATGGGTATAATAATAAACACAAGGCTCATGGATGAGATAAGCATGGTCAAAAAAGAAAACCACCAGTGTGGCTGAGAATACTAAGGGGAGACAAAAGAGAGAGGCTGCTGTAGGAGAGAAGCCAGACACAGGGTCAGGAGGCCTGGAGTGGGATGGAGATTTGCAAAGAACCAAGGCACCTCCGCCCAACAACAGAAGCTAATTTAAGAGAAACCGGAATAATTTTGAAGCAAAATGAAAAGTGAAAATAAGTCCTTTTCAATAAGGCAGACAAAAGAACGAGGCTTTTGATGAAAGAGATGAAGCTGGAATTATTCATATGAGGGCTGTGCTTCTAGAAGTGTAAAACAGCAGAAAATTCAATTTATTTCTTGAGGACTTAAAATGTGCAAGCCAGGAGAGGAATCCAGGGGCAAGAGAAAAGCAAATCATGTTTTCGTGGGGCTCCGAAGCTCGGAACCTCAAGGGAGAGGCAGATGCAGTGAACCAAAATGGCACAGAAACACAGGCAGGAGTGCTCAGCTGGATTGAAAAGCAAAGGGGACCAAGAGAAGCCACGTGGTGCAAATGAGAGCAAACTGAGGTAACACAGAATCTCAAAGAGGACCACTGCATGTGGAGGAACAAAGCAGTAAAATGGGAAGCTCTGGTCATCACGGAAGAGAATGTTCAAGAATTGAAGCTTCGTGCAAAGGTTCCTAACCAATGTCTACTGAATGGTGCTGGGAGGCAAAGGCAAAGTGGAACCTATGAGTGACAGGAACGGAAGGGATGGATAGGTATTCAATGACTTGTGAAGTCAGAACGTCATTAGAGTGGAAGTAGATGTCTCCAAGGCAAGCGTCTAGTGAAGGACTGCAAGGCAGTAGCTGCCCACTGAGAAGAGAAGTAACATGGCCAAAATATCAAATTTATTTCCAAACCTGGGACACTACACCAGGGCCAAAGGGATAGCCAAGATGACAGCCACTCTAGTGGATTTTCAGACTCTTCTAATAAAGACAAGAAAGGGTGGTATACCTCGCTGTACAAAATACATAAAGCAAGTGATTTCAGACAAGAGATGAAAGGCGGTGAATTTCTGTGCTCCGGAAATGAAGGAAACATTTAAAGTCAGCCTTGCAATTGCTCCAGTTTACTGTGTAAAACAAGATTCCTGGTCAAGCCATGGGAAGCAGAATTCGAAAAGGATCTCGGTGTTACTTTTCACATCAAAACTCTTATTGCAATGTAGTTTTAAAACATCTATCTGTCCACTCAGTTATAAGCTCAAGTAAGGCACAAATGTGATGGCCTATCAATCTTCCGGATTAAGTTTGCAGAGCAATTGTGATACATAGTAGATACCGCAGAAATATTTGATAAAGGAAAAAGCTAACTATAGGCACAAGATAATCTACTTATTGATGTGATATGCTTCTGATTGAATGATAATAGATCACATTGAAGAACCTCAACACAATTGAAAAAAGAAAATGAAGAAGGAATCTATTAATAACCATGATTTCAGGTGGTGCAACGAACACTTGAGTTGAAGAGATGATTGGAGAAAGAAAATTCTTTTATTGAGGACCTAATACACAACAGAAATTTTGCATATATTTCCACAGAATTTTCCATGACCAGTTCTTTGCCTTTTTTAATGTATTTAGTACAGGGTCTATAAGGTCTCATTACTCAGATCAGACTTGTAATGATCCTCCTATTTGCAGCCTCCCAAATGCTGGGATTACAGGTGTGTGTCACTATGCCCAGTCTCAATTGTTGTCTCAGCAAACCCCAGGGGAGGGCTGGCACAGCATGCTTGGAATCAAACCCTGGTCCCTGTGCCTGCCTAAGGTGTTTTAATCCGCTGATCTATCTGACTGGACACAGCACCCTGAACACGCTTTATCTCATCCATGAACAATTCTAACATGAACATTTTTAACTCACTCTGAATAAACTTGGAGAACAAAGTCAATATATTACTTGTCCTCATGTAGACAAAAAGTTTCATT